CATCAGGTTGCTATAAAAAAAAATAACAGAAATGGATTATACTCTTGCTGCCATCCAATGTCACGTATATATGCAGCATGTTCTCTGGCATATACACTTCATGATCTTTAGAAAATACCTGTGTGTAAAAGACTCATGCAACCAAATAGATCTACAACTGTTGAGAGAATATTAAGGTTTTGATTTATTTTACACAGCTGACATCTTGCTCTTAAAGTTGTGTCATCGTTTATAATATAACTAAGCCTTAATCGTCACCAGCACTTGCCTATCTTGACACATCGATCACTCTTAAAGGCCCTTGTGTGCAAGTATTTGATTAACTGTCACTTAACTAGTCAGAGCAGTATGTATCCTTAACTAGAAATGTTAGCATGAAATATGGTGCCACAAAGTTAAATGTAAAGGTCAAGCTGAAAATGAATACTCATGCATAATGTATCTTAAGTGATAAAAGCCATAATGGTTATACAATTTTAATATGGTCAAGCATCTTAAGGCCTTTTTTCTTGAACTAGGACACCAATTTCCTTGGGGAAGCATAATTCTTCTAGAGTATATTCAAGGAAGGTCAGGAAAATCGAAAATATGTGTCTTTTCTTTCTTCATTCAATGAAAACTAACAAACCCCATAACCATCTATCGCTGAACAGCATACAGACTTCTCTACCCTTCTGAAATTGCCTCAAGACAAATCTACCAGAAATTAACCGGAGCAAATGGCTACTCCCAGGGCAAGATAAAGTAAGAAGGGGACATATAAGAGTACTTGTGATATCCCTGGTGCAGTATGAATAAGCATGAGTAGTTTGCTATCTTCCAGCTCAGCTTGTTGTTGGAGGGAGCATATTTTGCTGAGTTTGGACTAAATCTTGCTAAAACAGGTCTTCTGGGGAGGGCAACAGGCTCGCTAACTAACTGCTAGTATGTGTGGCAGCAGAAGTGTACCAGAAAACCACTTTTACTGGGAGTCAGTAATCCTGGTGGGAAGAAAAGCTGCTGAGGAGGCTAAAGCCCAGGGGAAAGTGTTAGGTTTTCGAAGCTCAAGTTCCAATCGGCAACATTTGATGCAAAACTTTTGGCAGTGTTTAGCTGTCAAAAGAGAAACACAAAATATTGGCTTAAGGAAAAGAGGAAGATTGGTGAAAGCTTTTGGAAGCAAACATGCCCTGCTGCTTTCAGTGAGGCTGCGGGCTGCACATCTCCTGCTCTGACAGCAAAACACAGGATTGTAAATAAGGCTCATTGCCTTTTCTGAGTAAGTCGTGTTGTTTTTCCTTTGACATGTTGGTGCACTAAGAACTAGGCTATAAAAAATTAATACTTGTTTACCATTGGAGGAAAGTCTTAGAGTCTGAATTGTCCTAATTCCTTTCAAAGGCATGCCCCATTCCAGCAGATAATCTCAGCTCTTAGTTAACCTTAGAGCCCTCCTGTGCTTGTACGAACCTATTGCAAATGATCTAAGTAACTGTATCAATTTCAATAAGGGAAACTCAACCTCTAAAGAAACCCAATAGAATTAAGAAAGTGCATGAAAGCTTTCTGCCATGGGGAAATAGCTTGCAAGCAGCTGACCTGAAAAGACACTCTTGCAACTTAAAATATGCTTCTTCAATTTCACTGCATGCATAAAGCAGAGGTAAGGGGAAACCTGGTCATTTCCATGTGCCCTATGTTTTCCTTGCGGGAAAACCAGAGAGGATTTTATTAGGTCCAGTACTGCACAATTAAAAAATAAATCAGTTGGAAGTTTTTATTAAATCCCCATTAACTGAATAATCAGCTCTCCAGGGAGGAGCAGGCTGCTGAAAAAAGAAACAGAAACTCAGCTAGAATTCATTCCTTTTTTTTTTTTTGTTTGTTTGTTTTTGGTTTTTGCTGGGCTTTCTTTTTTGACACTGAAGGCATCATTCATAAAGATTAGTCTTGCTAGAAACCCAGAGGATCCACTGACACAGCACTGAGGGACGAGCTGAGTTAATGGCTGGCTTTAGTTGTACAAGGGTGTGCAGACGAGATCCCCCTGCCAGGTCTGACAGTCAGGATGAATGACTCCACCTCCCCTGGAGGGGCGCAGGGCTGTGTTCAGTCACTTCCTTCACCGTGAGGCTGTACTTCTGAATTTGATGCCGTATTTTATGTATTACTTGTTGCTCCTAAAATGAGTTGCGCAGGATTAGTTATGGAAAGCTGAGAGGGTGTGGTTAGTATGGCAGATGTGTGATTCCTACTCCAGAAATGCACCCAGAACCCAGGGGCATCATGGCCATAAATGTCTCTGGTCCTGTAAAATATTTTGGTGTTCTGAGCCTGGGTGCATGTCACTTTCTCGGAAAGTATCAATTTTCCCAAATGCAAATGTCACACATTGCTTTTTCACCATTCATTAGATTAATTTATACAATGAAACTAAATTGTACTGATTTGTCTCAATTTATCTGCAGTTGATTTAACTTCCCATTACAAGGTATCTATACACCATCATGTGAATTAATTAAGTCTGCTTCTTGAACCATTTGTGTTTTGGCAAATCAGCTAATGTATTTCCAATCCTTGCTTATATTCATTACTTATTTCAAATCCTGATAGCAGTTCTATTCAATATGGTTCATTGGCTCGAATATGCCCATACTCATATTTTAACAACCATAGTATTTGCACTGTTCAACACTGACTGTCATAAAAGTAATCTAAGACTATCCTGTGAAATATGTTGCTTCTCTTAATAGCATGTTTAAGCTCAATAAAATAAAAATGTCTTTTTATGTTATGGAACATGCTCTGAAGCACTGTCTAACAACTCAATGCATGTTGCATATAAGCACTTGGGCAAGACAAATGCTTAGAAGATAAATTTCAAGTGGAATATAATAGAAATAATTTACTGAAGGACTGATTAGCATCAGAATGGTTACCTTTTAATTTTGTTCTCGGTAAGATGCTTCTAATACAATTTTTATTGCAACCTTACACTCTTCAGTTTCATGACAGGTTGCTCATAGCAACAGTCTTAATATGTCATAGAAGGCAATGAGAAAATTGTATTTTAATCTATAAAATAGTTTTTTTTCAGTATAGATTGTTACACAGTTGATTACAACTGGATTTTACAGGTATAGCATATGAAATAGATTGATATGGAGGCATGAAAATATTAGAAATACTATGTTTGCATTAGCTGCTACTAACCAAAATATACTGCAATAGCACTAATAAGATTAAAAGACAAAAAGTGAGATCAAGGCAATGCTGGAATTGCAAACTCAAGAAATTAAATATCTGGTCTCATAGGACTTCTAGAAATCCCGTTTCTTGATGGTTGAACTTGATGATCTTAAAGGTCTTTTCCTACCTAAATGATTCTGGGATTCTACTTTGAATCTCTATTATTATTGGTGCTCAGGTTAGGCACCAATTAGATGATTATGGCATGGCTTCTGATAAAGCTCATAGCTCTCCAGTTATTTTGGTGAGGGATTTATTAAGTAGATCAGACTTTCAAGGAACTGACTGAAACTCATCGAGAATCACTACCAATTTTTTGCAAACTGTTTACCTTTTGTCAATCTTTTTGTCAGAGCAGCACCTTTATGCCACTTCTTTCATCTTCTTGCTATTCAGTGCTTAGGTCATTTAAGTAGATACCTACTAATATGATGCTATACATGGTGAATGCCATTTTAGGTTTGGAATCAATCTCTTGCCTCTAGGAATAAGGCTAAGCACCAAAGAGGTAAGCGTGCCACCTACTCTTTATTCTTGTGTGCATCTTATCACAAAGCTAACCACTAGAAACCTGGGGTTTTAGCTAATACGCTTAATATCATTCTCAATCTCCCACCCTCTGCCTTGATAGTTCATCTTTATGTATTTTTGAACATTATCAGAAATAGCCTTATGGGTGCATTTTGTAGGCTACCTAGCTTGGAATCCCCTTTCAAATCTTCAAAATATGGCCTAATCATTCTGTCTGAAGCATCGCTCTTTGCAGATGTCTTGCTAGCAGAAAAAAGTAATCCCCCCCTTTGTCAAGAAAAGATGATAGATGTATTGCTAGCATGAGACCTTGTTGTGCTTCATCAATTCCTTCTTCCTTAGCAGCCCCCAGATGATTGTTCACAATTACAAATACATGGAGCTACCGTCTGCCAATTTGTGGTAGACGAGTTTTCCCTTAAACAGGGGGGAGACCACACACACGATTTTCTCTACTATACATATCTAATTTTTGTTTCAATAAAGCTAGTAAATTTTACAAGAAAATATTTCACTTAAAATTTCTTTTTATTTTGTATGCTGTTTCTGAAGATGTTTATAAACTTCATCTACCTATATAACCCTCATGCTTTACTTGGAAAGCAGCCAGGGATGCCATCTGTAAAAAGAAAAAGTTGTGAAGTTACCAAGGAACATTTTCCTATTCCCCTCAAGGAAAATATTTGATAGATGTTATGGATTTTCACTTCTTTGATTTTTAGCTTCAATTCTTTTGCAGTCTTTTGTCCCTCAAAGGCTTTTACTTTGAAGACATTCAAGCGTCAGTAAGCGCAAATAAAAAATATATAAATAAATAAAACTCTCCAAATGTATGACTAATATTCACACACAGTTGCAGAATCAGTACCAATTATTAGGAAGGAAGTATCATTAGTCTCATAGGACTGGTTTTATGGTGAACAATGAGGTATCACCTTAAGCTGAAGCTGCTGACAACTGGAATTGATCAACTTACAAAGTTTTTGTATTAATAATATAGTTGATTAATGGACTATCTCTAGTATTTTAAGGTGAGCTTGTAGATAAACAAGATGTTAGGTGGGTTGTATGACACTTCCAAGCGTAAAGATACTTTTTAGCTCTTAGTCATGCAAATGTTTGAGAGTGGTCAAGACTTTGCTACAGTACACACATGCATACTTGAGGAATAAGAAAAAGGCATCCCACCAATGTCAAATGCGATATAAAAAGATGGTTTTTTAAATCTTACATTAACTCACCTGTTGCAGCCTCTTTGTTTGCAAATAGTTTATTGTCAACTGCTGAGCTTATGTCAAAGAACACTTCTTCTTCATCTCTGTCTGCATCAAACTGTTAACAAAAAAACCCAAAGTTGGTAATCAGACACTGTTACTACTTGCCTATGTTTATAGAAATATGATTTTATTAAATTAAAGGACATTTAATTATTGTTGCTCTATATTTTTTCTTATTTCTTGAATTGAGGCCAGGTACGTTACTATGGAAAAAGGGAATACTGTAACCTCAAATTACAGGAGCAAGTAAATAATGGTCACAGCAGGTAACTATTTTCAATCATTCGGTATGTTCAGTGACATGCGTTTTAGGATGTGGAATGAACCCCAGGGCAAAACCCATAACATTAGCACTTCCAAACTCATGAACTTCAGTGGGCTTTTCCTTCAAGTCCAAGACTGTTGTTCACCTTTTCAGATGTCTTGCCAATAATTACCTGCCATGGTAAAAATAATAGGCAAGAGGAAAAGCCACGGAGAAGGAAGTTCAAATCCTAATAGGACCTTTGATGCAGATGCTAACCTTTATATAGATGAAGTTGTTTTCCAAGTATCTCTGAATATAGCATGATACTTAAAAAGTTAATTTTAGGGAGTTACTGAGCTCCTTGTCCAACACCCACCATTGCAAAATCAGTATCACGCTTTTCATCATGCCTTATGATGACTTATGTATTATCTATATTACTTAAGCCGTTTTGTCACTGGTAATGAGATTTGCTTTCTTATGGAATTTTCCATCAGCACCTCAAGGTAAACTCAGAGGAAAATATCAGCCCAAGAATTTAGAGTGGCAGATGCCAGAAA